ATGAAAGAGGTCTTCCAGTACTGGTCAGAGTGGCAAGAACAGTGACATAAGCACTCGAAGAGAGGGGATATTCTGAGGAGTATTCAGTGTCTTCCAACATGAACTGTAAAAGTGTAAACATTCACTGTGTTTTGATTACCCCTTGAAAGAGGTTTTGAAATATGGTACTTTCCAAGCTGTTAACTCCAACCTGAATGTGTACTTCTTTCATTGCTCGTCAATGAGCTAGAGTAGCATGAGTTAAGTCAGTGTGGTAAAAATGTACCCCAAACGTGGACCTTTATTCTTCCTTGAGGGAAGATTTCTGTGGCATTTAATAAACACAAGGCTTTTGTTGTTTGCTTAATTTCTCTCTGTAGCATGAGTTAAGTCAGTGTGGTAAAAATGTACCCCAAACGTGGACCTTTATTCTTCCTTGAGGGAAGATTTCTGTGGCATTTAATAAACACAAGGCTTTTGTTGTTTGCTTTTAATTTCTCTCTTCATGCACAACTGGCTGTGCAGTTGTCTGAGAATGGGGAGGTTTAAAGCTGAGGTGAAGGTGACCCAGCAACACGCAGGTTTCTGGGGGCTCTCGGTGTAGTTCTCCTCACGCCCACTGCAGACACAACTCTCCCGGGCCTGAGCTCAGTCCTGGGCTAGGAATGCAGTTGTGCAAAGACACCATCATTGCTTAGAAACTGTACAGACAATAGACACTCGACAAAGAATAATGTGAGACAATGTCTGATAGACCTTGTGCCATGATAAGTACAGTGGGAATTCACAGGAAATACTTTTGGAAAACTGTTGTTACAAAGGAAGTTGCATGCTCTGGACCTGAAAAAACAGCAATTTCCTGGTTTCCCTCTATCACTTTCAGCACTTTTAATTTTGTGCCTCTTTGAAACATGTTAGATAGCAATTATCACACCTTTTTTTTTTTTTGGGTCAGTTGGGATGATTCTGGTCATAAATAACAAAACGCCAACTCAAATTGGCAAACAAACCCACAAATGAGCAAGGTAAGAGAGGCACTAGCTAAAAGCTCTTACAAATCTAGGGATTGGAAGAGCTCTAGGTATGGATGAACCGTACAGGTGACAGGCTATTTCCACAAATTAGTAAACTCGGACAAGTTCACATCATTCTGAAAACAAAAACAGAACCTGCCTGGGTTCTCCTGCCTTACTGTCCTACCTTCCATTCTGCACACTTCTCCAAATGGCCTCTGTGTGCTCCCTGACCCTTTCCTTACCTGAGTCCACTCAGTCCCTGCCTGCTCTGACGACACTGGCTCACTCCGCTGTGATCTATGGATTGGCCACTCCAACAGCCTTCATTCTCTGTAACCTCCCTATAGGATCTCACTGGGAATAATACTCTTTAAAAACATCTGCACCTGGAATAATCTTACACACAGACATGTTGCAGAAAAAGTACATTTAACTCCTATGATCTGTCATCAAGCCCAAGTGTTAACGTTTCTTTGTCTAAATTTTCAAAAAAAAAAAATATGTATTTGTACTGGGTATCGAACTTGGGACCTTGCACTTGCAAGATAGGCAGCAGCACCACTGAGCTAAATCCCTGGCCCTTTTTTTTTTTTTTTTTAAAAAAAGACAGTGTCTTTTCATGTAGTTCAGGCTGCTCTTGAATTCACTATGTAGCCCAAGCTGTCCTCAAACTCATGACCATTCTCCTGCCTCAGTCTCCTGAGCGCTGGGATTGCAGGCCTGCACCATTATGCCTGGATTAAATCTTCTGATTTCAAAATGAGTTGCAGACACAATGGCCCATGACCAATTCATACTCTGGCTTCTTCTTTCTCGTTATTTGCGTTGTATTTATTTAGTTGCTTAATTAACCGAGTATGCAACTATCTTAGTTACTTTCTTGTTTCTGAAATATAATACCTGACATCCACAATTTAAAGGCGCGAAGTTTTATTTTGGCTCAGTTTGTAGAGGTTTCAGTCCACAGTCCACTGGCTCCAGGTCAGGACTGCCTGGCAGAGGGGCCTGGTGGAGGAGAGCTGCTCACTGCATGGGGGACAGAAAGCAGAGCTCAAGAGAAGAGCCAGGAAGGGAGACAAACCACTCCAGGCCACGCCCCCAGTGACCCACCTCTTCTGACTGGACCCCAGCACTCAGCTGTAGCGCCCCCATGGGCCAGTCATCTTCTAAAAGCCCCACTGTGAGTGCATGAGTCTTTGGGGGACATGTAGATGTAAACCATAACAGTGAGTGTCTGAACCCACAATGCGTAGGGGCTAAGGTCAGTGTGCATGTCAGTGAAGTATTGGTGGTATTTGAGAAATACAGCATAACTCTAAAATCAGTGGACTGAAAAGCAGAAAAGTATATCCTGGTCTAAGCTCCCCTACTACCAGCTTAAGGACTGTGGTAGATTTCTGCAAAGATGGTTGCCAATAATTCTTTCCTTCCATCTGAACACATCAACTCCTTTTTTTGAAGGGGTAGAGGTAAGCACTGGAAACCCACGGCATTAGTGTGGTTCTTAGATTAATGTGTTTGGCCTCTGGCCTCTCCTGTGCTGTGCAATTAGACATGATTCATGCCATACACCCGCAAGAAATGCATTCTCTTGAAAAGGGACGGAAAATTTCAGGCTGCTCATCACAGAATCGTTAGGGTTCTTTATACTCAAGCTTTCCAGTCCAATCTTTAAATAATTAATCAGGTTATACCAGGCATGTACAGCAATAAAAAAAAAGAAAACCTTTCATAGCTCATCTGATCACTTTTTACACTTGATTTCAGCCAAAGGCCGAGAAGTGATCACTGATCGCTTTTTTTTTCCTATTAAGTTTATTGGTACATTTAAAGCAAGCAATACAGCTACATTTGTGTTAGTCTGATCACTTTTTACACTTGATTTCAGCCAAAGGCCGAGAAGTGATCACTGATCGCTTTTTTTTCCTATTAAGTTTATTGGTACATTTAAAGCAAGCAATACAGCTACATTTGTGTAAGTTCTCATGCTGCTGAGGATTTGTTCATAAAGTCGTCTCCTATGCCAATGTCTTCAAGAGTTCTACCTAATTTACTTTCCAGTAAGTTTAGTGTTTCTTTTCTAAACAGACCCGAGGATCAGTGGAATAGATTAGAAGATGCAGAAACACCAGACATACTCACCTACCTCATCCTTGACAAAGGAGTCAACCATCCTCACTGGAGGAAAGATAGCCTCTTTAATAAATGGTGTTAGAAAAACTGGCCTTCAACTTGCCAAAGATCAAAAGTAGATCCCTATCTTTCACCATGCAATGAACTCAAATCCAAGTGGATTAAAGATCTATTAAAAAAGAAATGCTAAACTGGGCCATACCCAGCATCCAAGTAGAACAGGGAATGAAACTTCCTTTGTAGTTGAAGAGGTCTAAATCACAAAACTATTTCCCAAGTTTTGCTGATCAGCTGACAATGAATAATTTGATTCGAACCCACATTCTGTTTCTTCCTTCAGGCTTATAAATCTGGCACGCATTTTAGCCACTGTACTGAAACTTCTCTGAACTTCTATGGTTACCCTTTGTGGCTCAATTTATGACTCCTTTGTTATTCCACTCATTCCTGCCAAGTAATCTTACCTTCCCTCTGCTGTGATTTCAGTCACCACACACTGACCCATGATTAACTCTGTACTGATAATGCATCTCCTTTGATATCAAGACTCAAATTATTAAATATCTTTGACACAAACAGCTATTTCTACCTCAGATTTAACATGTTGGTAGTAATCTGAAAAAACTTTTCTTTCTACTCTAAACCTAATTCTTTTCCTACATCCCTAAAATGTTAAGAGGCCCGTGTGGCAGTTTAAAAATACGTTTGTAAATTCTTTTTGTATTTCTCCCTTCAAGAGGTGGAGGCAGGAGGATTGCTGCGAGTTTGAAGCCAGCCATAGAAATCCTGTCTTAAAAAATAAGAAAAAGACTGTAGACTTAGCAACTCGGTTCTAACAAGGAGAACATGGCAGAAATCACAGCGACTGACTTCTAGGACTAGGTCAAAAGACAGCCAGGCGTCCTCCTGGGACTGTTCTCCAAGGGAAGCCAGCTGCCACTCAAGTGGGCCTTGGGGAGTCCCTGCATTGAGGATGTACAGTGAGAAACCAAGGTCTTCCGCTGCACCAGTCCAGGAACCCTTCCCAGAAGCAGATGCTCCCACCCCCCTTGACCACTCACGTGACTGCAGCCCCTGCCCTGGGCCTACTGCACCTTCACCACAGGCTTTGGGTAGAGGCAACCAAGCTCCTGGCTTGTGTAAGCTGTGAGGCAACAAATATTTACTGGGTTAAATAGCTAAGTTTTGGAGTAACTTAGTACTCAGCAGATTGGTTAAATGACCAATATCGTGTCCAAACCCAGAATACAAAGAGTAGAAGCGGTTAAAGGAAACAATCATTTTAATTGAACTTTCTCCCCACTCTAACCACGCTTCTCCCATTCCCTCAATGAACAACACCACCACCATCAGAACAGACAACCAATGGGACACCACACGAGACCTGCCCACCCAGCACACAGGGAGTTGTCATTACTCCCTTAAGTATCACTTGAGTCAACCCTGCGCTCACTGCTCTAACTCTGGGCTTCACCATTTTTCAGTTTCTACAATGCAGCGTTCCAGCTCTTCTCCCTTCCTGCAGTGTTTCACAGCACCCCTGCTTTCTCTAGAACAACTAGAGCTTTCCCTAACACACGTTTGATCCTGTAGTTCATTTATTAAGCTCCACTATGGTTTCCACATTGCGCAGGACAAGATTCAGGTGTCTTGGCGTGGCATTTCTGTCTGTCCTGTAGTTAGTTTCCCCTTTCACCTCTTATGTTCACAGCCTCTAATCTGGCTGCTTTCCACTTTTTCATGTCGTATGCTTTCTTCATGAAAATCTTTCATTCTTCCCTTTTAACTCTTAGTTACCCGCCACCCACCCAGTACTGGGGATTGAACCCAGGGGTGCTCTGCCACTGAGCTACATTCTCAGCCCTTTTTATTTAAAGGCGGAATGTCATTAAGTAGTCCAGGCTGCCCTTCAATGTATGCCCTTCCTGCCCCAGCCTTCTAAGCAGCTTGACTTTCTTCTATTACTTTATCAGAGCACCTACCACACAGATCAGTGCAGTATCTTCCAGTAGAATGTGAGCTTGTAAGGGAAAAAATATCTATCTTCCATAGCAACATACTCATTTACTCATACATACAAGGTGTGCCTATGGAGCAGGTACTCGCCAGGTACTACGTTAGGTGTGTATTACTGAATAGCGGGCAAAACAGACATACACCTGTCCTCCCAGAGTTTACTGTCTATTCACGAAAGAAATAAAATAAACAAGTATCTGGGGTCGGAAAAAACAATGTTACGAGACACTGACAAGTGAGGACCTACTTCAGATTGCAAAGTGCCTGGCTACTCAGACACTTCCTGAATTAGACTGCTTTCCAGGATGTTAATGTAAATTAGACTTTCACCACTGAGGTGTACGTGGTGGGCTCATCTCTGATTTTATTTTTAAAACATCTTTGCTAATATTGTCAATGCCATACTTTTGCTTATAAGTTCTCTATGCTAAAAATCAAAAAAAGAATATAGGGCATGATTAAATATATGTTGTAAACAGAGGCTTAATGAAGCCCAAGTAGAGAGAGACTAGATATACGCATTGTTAGGGTTATTTAAATGTATAACTTAGATAATGTAAAAATAATGTCTTACAAGACCACACATGTCGATGTGTAAAAATTAATGGTGAAAAAAGAAAACGAACTTAAAAAACAAACGGTATTCTTCGGCGCTCAGAAGCCTGAAGTAGTCACTGCCCAATTCCTTGGAAGCCCCTGCCTTCTCGTGCGTGGCTTGCTGCCAATGATTCACCACTAAAACATTCCTGGGACATGTGGAGGAGATAATGTTCAAAAAAAAAAAAATTCTAAAATGAGAATGGCAGGATAAGGAAATATTAACATACATAAAACTTTATGTACTAATAATTATTCATATTTTCTAATCAACTAAAAAACTCAAAACAAAACTCAATAGGTACAGATTAAAATTTTCAACGGTTACTTATATCTGAGAAATTTTTTTTTAGGCCTTATTTCTTACGTTAACACAGAGCCCATGAAAAAATTCCCAAGACAACACAGAAATTGCCTTGGAATTTGTATTTTACAACTGACACACATATTTCTAATCGCTTTAGTGTACGTGAAATGGGGTTACCAAAATTAAACAGGTCTGTGCCCTGAGTCCAAATGAGCTACAGTAACGTTAGTGGAACCCATGGCCCTGGAAAACCTGGTTTAACGGACAAGGACAAATACAGCTCATACTTTCTACGACACCAGCTTCACTGGTTGGAAAAGTAGGTGACTTCTTCAGATACCCTTGCCTCTGTGACAGGGCATTGGGACACTCGGCAGGGATCTATGCCAAACCTGTCCTTGACTTCTTCAGATACCCTTGCCTCTGTGACAGGGCATTGGGACACTCGGCAGGGATCTATGCCAGAAACGGTGCTTGTTGCCAAACCTGTCCGACGGCAAACGTTTTTCCCTGACAAACGGAAGGTTGCCCAACATGAACATATTAATTTGTGACTTTTCAGAGGAAGGAAGTATTTTGTTTTTACTTTTGATGATTGAAATGTAATTTCAAAGGTTTTTAGGGTATTACCTTTATGAATGTGCAATCATCATTGTTTTACAGTAGTGTAAAACACTCACACTCAGCGACATGGTTTACCACACACAGAATCACTGCTGGCAGTGGCCCTGTTTCACATTTTGATCTACAGAATATGATACAACTCAAATTACTGACATAATACATAATGATAAATATTCCTTTAAAAAAACAAGTTATTTTCCTACTTACAATTTTTAGGGAAAATTTACTATAAAAATACTTCTCTTCTTCATTTCCCTGCCATGATAAAGTGAAACCACCCCAGCTCCTCCTCAGACTTCAGGTGAAGAGCCCACCACCCGGGTGAGTGAGTGCTCCTCTCAGCAGACACATTTTTTTAAGGCACTCTGAACTCAAAAAGGAACCAAAAAGAAAAATGCTCCTCTCGCCAACCGTTCTTCTGGGCATGCTTCCCCTCAAAACTTTAAAAATTAAACAACTGTTCCACCTGGTTTTTGTGAAATTTCATTTTCCATGTCACAGCCCTTAAGTTATTTTTCTTTTATTTGAAGCCACTCCTTCATTTTCAGCTTGCTGAGCAGGCAAACAACTGCTTCTGGTTTCCACGGAAACCGGATTCCTGCAGCCTCGGGTAGGCATTCTTGTTCCAGCAGCCTGAGAGATGAAGCCAGAGCAGAGGAGAGGGTGTATTTACAACCTGAACGCAGTCAACTCCGCACTGTTTACCATGTCCTGACCACCTTGGCCAGGACCCACTGTAAGTTTTTAACCCCCAGCCACCTGGATGTTTCTAAAGTTCTAATCTGACACAATTTTAAAGTACTCATCTTTCAGGGGAGGAGATGGACCAGAGTAGAGAAGTGAACAGGAAAAGTACTTCTCTCTGTTCAATTTTGAAGAGGTTGAAATGTTAAGTTAGAAAACGAGGGAATGCCAGGCCTTGAGGTAATGTATTTGCAATGATTATGCTGAAGGAGGAGAAAAAGGAAGAAATGAGAAACATGGAGTTGGGGAAACAAATACAAACAGGTCAGAGGGAGTAAAAAGGAAGAAGAAATTATATTCACAAAACAGGAGGGCAGCTGGTAAGAGGAAAAAAGCTAAGAAAAGGAAAGCAACAGGAAATCTCAAGAGAGGGGACAATGAAAAAAAAAATATGAAAGAGGAGAAGGAAAAGAAACCAGAAGAGCCTGAGTAAAAAGGAAAAACTGAGGGGCTGAAAGAGAACAAGAAACAAGCAAGAGGAAGGAGGACAGAGAGCAGAGGACAGAAGGGAGCAAGAAGCAAGGCGCACCCCTCGCCCACACTCATGCGGTCTGAGGAAAGACTGCTCTCCGCAGTCCCTGCTTGGCAGACACAATGCTATTTAGGGGTGAGATCTGGAAATGCTGCCGTGTCTCTGGCCACCAAGATTTGCAGAAGGGTAACAAAGGTGGCCAGGCCTTGCGGAGAAGCCCAAACCACCTCCACAGCCCCTGCCCTCATCCGCTTGCCTTTCCCCAGCTGCCTTGCACCCGTCTCTTCGCAGCTGTCTGGTGAGCCCCAAAGCTGGAGTCTGTACGGTAAGCAAGCACTGTCTTATACTCCCAGCCCAACCTGGCAGGACTGGCTGCTGGAAGGGCTGCGGGCTCACTCAGGAGTGGACCAGACCACAGCATGCCTCACCTGTTGGCTCCTGGCTCTGTGGGACACTTTTAGTGGAATATTACATGACTAGAAAGGACAAACTTTTACTGGGGAGCAGTCTGAGACAGGGGTCTTACTATGTAGTTTAGGCTGGCCTTGAATTCAGAGTAACCCTCTTGCCTCAGCCTCCAGAGGGCAGGGATTACAGACCTGTGCTACCACACCTGGCTAGGAAGGACAAACTTGAACAGAGATTTGAGCCTGACAGTTTGTTGGATTGAGGAGCATTTGTAATATTGTGCTTAGATAAGCAATGTGATTTCTGGATCTCTGTTTTCATTCTCCATTCAGCTGGTATTTCCTGTAAGGCAAGCATTCGGAAGATTTCCATTGCAAGGCTGTGTGTGTCATGAACATTAAAAAAGTTACAAAAAGAAGACAGGGATAAGTATGTTTGTTTGTTTGTTTTTTGAAACAGGGACTCACTATGTAGCTGAGACTGAACTCACTTTATAGCCTAGGCTGGCCTTGAACTCACAGTGATGCTCCTGCCTCAGCCTCCCAAGTGCTGGGATTATAGGCCTGCGCCACCATGCCCGGTGACAGGGATAAATATGAAGGGACAAAAAGGCTGGAAGCAGAAGTCAGAAGCAGCACAGGAAGCAGGTGAGACTTGAGTACTACCACTCAGTGGGGGGTGGGGGGGCAGAGTCTGCCAAGGTTTCCTGCCCAAAGGCACTGTATGCAGATGAGCTCTGCTTTCCAGACTAGGTGCTAAGGGATCACATGAGGGACAAAACACTTGTACATGAGTCTTCATACCTAGGAAATGTGCAGATGATTTTTGTTTCATACCAGGTCTTACTTCCCTACTTTGCTGAAAGCTCTGATCTCTCCCTCGTGCTAAGTGCTAAGCTTAGAATCCCTCTTGGTGCTTAGCTTGGTGGCTGGGATTAGAAAGACTCATTTCTGTGGCCTGTTTAGAAGGAGTCAGGAAGGTAGGGTACACCCCACTAAATGCAGGACTAGATTGTGAGGAAGTACGTAGATCATCACCAAAAACTTTCCACTGGGGCCACGGATTTGGTTCAGTGGTGCCTGCGTCTGCCTTGAGCCTGAGTAAAAAGGAAAAACTGAGGGGCTGAAAGAGAACAAGAAACAAGCAAGAGGAAGGAAGACAGAGAGCAGAGGACAGAAGGGAGCAGGAAGCAAGGCGCACCGCGGTGGAGCCGTCCACCTCCCCGCCCTCCCCTCGCCCACACTCATGCGGTCTGAGGAAAGACTGCTCTCCGCAGTCCCTGCTCTGAGCCTGAGTAAAAAGGAAAAACTGAGGGGCTGAAAGAGAACAAGAAACAAGCAAGAGGAAGGAGGACAGAGAGCAGAGGACAGAAGGGAGCAAGAAGCAAGGCGCACCCCTCGCCCACACTCATGCGGTCTGAGGAAAGACTGCTCTCCGCAGTCCCTGCTTGGCAGACACAATGCTATTTAGGGGTGAGATCTGGAAATGCTGCCGTGTCTCTGGCCACCAAGATTTGCAGAAGGGTAACAAAGGTGGCCAGGCCTTGCGGAGAAGCCCAAACCACCTCCACAGCCCCTGCCCTCATCCGCTTGCCTTTCCCCAGCTGCCTTGCACCCGTCTCTTCGCAGCTGTCTGGTGAGCCCCAAAGCTGGAGTCTGTACGGTAAGCAAGCACTGTCTTATACTCCCAGCCCAACCTGGCAGGACTGGCTGCTGGAAGGGCTGCGGGCTCACTCAGGAGTGGACCAGACCACAGCATGCCTCACCTGTTGGCTCCTGGCTCTGTGGGACACTTTTAGTGGAATATTACATGACTAGAAAGGACAAACTTTTACTGGGGAGCAGTCTGAGACAGGGGTCTTACTATGTAGTTTAGGCTGGCCTTGAATTCAGAGTAACCCTCTTGCCTCAGCCTCCAGAGGGCAGGGATTACAGACCTGTGCTACCACACCTGGCTAGGAAGGACAAACTTGAACAGAGATTTGAGCCTGACAGTTTGTTGGATTGAGGAGCATTTGTAATATTGTGCTTAGATAAGCAATGTGATTTCTGGATCTCTGTTTTCATTCTCCATTCAGCTGGTATTTCCTGTAAGGCAAGCATTCGGAAGATTTCCATTGCAAGGCTGTGTGTGTCATGAACATTAAAAAAGTTACAAAAAGAAGACAGGGATAAGTATGTTTGTTTGTTTGTTTTTTGAAACAGGGACTCACTATGTAGCTGAGACTGAACTCACTTTATAGCCCAGGCTGGCCTTGAACTCACAGTGATCCTCCTGCCTCAGCCTCCCAAGTGCTGGGATTATAGGCCTGCGCTACCATGCCCGGTGACAGGGATAAATATGAAGGGACAAAAAGGCTGGAAGCAGAAGTCAGAAGCAGCACAGGAAGCAGGTGAGACTTGAGTACTACCACTCAGTGGGGGGTGCGGGGGCAGAGTCTGCCAAGGTTTCCTGCCCAAAGGCACTGTATGCAGATGAGCTCTGCTTTCCAGACTAGGTGCTAAGGGATCACATGAGGGACAAAACACTTGTACATGAGTCTTCATACCTAGGAAATGTGCAGATGATTTTTGTTTCATACCAGGTCTTACTTCCCTACTTTGCTGAAAGCTCTGATCTCTCCCTCGTGCTAAGTGCTAAGCTTAGAATCCCTCTTGGTGCTTAGCTTGGTGGCTGGGATTAGAAAGACTCATTTCTGTGGCCTGTTTAGAAGGAGTCAGGAAGGTAGGGTACACCCCACTAAATGCAGGACTAGATTGTGAGGAAGTACGTAGATCATCACCAAAAACTTTCCACTGGGGCCACGGATTTGGTTCAGTGGTGCCTGCGTCTGCCTTATAAGCACAAGGTCCTGAGTTCGATTCCGGGTACCAAAAGACAAAAAAGCAAACAAAAAAAACCCCCAAAACTTTCTACTGGCTTTCAAAAATACATCAAGCCTCAAATTAGTTATTTAATTGTTTACTATAATGAATGCTAGGCTGTACCACAACTTGGTCCTAGACAAACTCGCTAAATATTTGACCTTGGGCTGATGGCCTAAAGCATCTTGAAAAATACAAATCAACAAGGTTTCAAGGATATACACATAACTGCATAACTGAACAATGTATTACAATCTATATTTATTTATGTGGCCAGATCCTGAACATAAATTATTTCTTTTTCCAAATAAAGCACTTGATATATTTTAGAATCAACCTATATCAATAAGGAAATTATATTACTCATTTGTTTTTTAAAAGCATCTTGTACATATTTTCCTTTCCAGTTAAAGTTGCTTAGCGCCAAAGTATTACCCCGTTCATTTTCACTGAAAAGGCAAAAGCCACCACCACACAGAATTACATGTTACAGTTAAGAGACTATAATCAGTGTTTCTAAATTAAAAGAAAGTCATTCTCCTAGAAAGAATAGAAATCTTTTAAAAATAGTTCATCCATTATTATTTTTAAATTACCTAAAATTTTTTTCTTAGGAATTTACAAAAATCACTATTTAAGTGTATAGTAGAAACAGTCAACCAAAACTAGATGGAATAACATCAGCTGTGAGCTGTTAACTTCCTTTACTCTTATATCTGTCTCAACTAGCTAAGCACAGTTGTGCTTTCCTGGCAGGGTTAACCAGGAATGTGTAAGCAGATCCGTGGAAGAGGGGCCTGCTTAGCGCACTCAAGGCCAGGTGCCAGGCTCACCCTCAGGACAAAAAGTAAATCCATGAAAACGAATGGGCCCTCAGAGGACCATCAAGGTGGAGGATTGAAAAGCATAAACTCCGTGTTATCTGGTTAAGGGTCCTCAGTTACCTACTTCTCCATAGGTCCTAAGGACACTGGCTGATTCAGAATAATTAGAAAACAAAAAAGAACAGAGCGTCCAAAGGATACACATGTGAGCCGCTCGGAAGCAACCACACTGATAAGGTTTAGAATTCACGCGGTAGTTTTGACTCAAGGATTTTTTGGCAGTGGGTAAGGAAAGTCCCTGTGTTTTAAAAATTGTTTCCTGACCAATCAGATTCATTTGTAGACAGCAAAATTTTTTCTACAACTAAACTCAAACTGGAATTTCTTACATGATAAAGAGAATGATGATATGGCGGAGAATAAATTTAGCCCAGGCTTTACAGGTGTCTTTCTTTTTTTTTGGTTTTTTTGAGACAGGGTCTCACTTTGTAGCTCAGGCTGCCCTTGAACTCATTACGTAGCCTGGGCTGGCCTCAAACTCTCAGAGATCCTCCTGCCTCAGCCTCCTGAGAGCTGGAATTACAGGTATGCATCACCATGCCTGGCTACAAATTTCCATAAAGAAATGTGATTCAGTTGGCATTTCTGGGAAGGATTTTATAGATAACATTAATTATAATTCAATAAATATCGACTTAGATAATACTCAGTAAAATACAGCTTAGTCTTTAAAGCTTTAGCTGTTTTTAATTTTATTTTTTGGTGCTGGGTATCAAAGCCAGGGCCTCATGCATGCTAGGCAAACACTCTACTGCTGAGCTCATCCCCAACCCCCTTGTTGTATTTTTAATATGGTACTCCATTTACTAATAACTCATACTTGGCTTTAAATTTTTCACCATCTACTAATCACTTTTTAATTGCATAATAATTACATAACATCTTAGGCATTCTTTTGGAAATTGCTTTGCATATTTAATAACACTCAACAGAATATATGTAAATAAAAATTGTCCAAAAAAACCCACCCTTTTCCTTTTAATAAGAATGTAGGGATTTAACTATGTGGATGCATTAGCTATGCACCCACAGGGGAAGTCACAGAATTATCTTTGGATGATTTGTAGACCTTACAAAAATAGAAAGTTCCACAGACAAAAAAGATGGACTTGCAGCACACACAACTTTATCTACCTTTCCATGGACACAGGTTTAAGAAACATGCTATGATTAACACGGCAGACAAAGACATCAAGTTGAAATATAGTCAGTGAAACAACAGTAACAGAACGTTTGGTTTTAAAAAAAAGGTCTTACCTTTTGTGCCAGTGTAGGACTCACAGATTTCGGTGGAAAAGTACAAGGTATCCGTCCATGATGGATGTGATACGGGAGCAGGAGACTGGGGTCCAAGGGGACCCAGGGGACTGAGAGACTGGAAGGCACAGCGGGGAGGTCGCAGTGTGTTTTGTGCAGATTGTACGATGTCCTCGTAACTTTTCCATCCGAGGTCTTGTAGATCAGGAGTGAAGAATCTTCTGCTGCATGAGACAACAGGTAGGACCCCTCCTGCAAGCTAAATGCACACCAGAACTCAGCTCACTGGCTCACTGAGTCAGTCTCAACAGCACTTTTCTTAATCATCGCCTAAGAATGAATCTAAAACAACGGCAGGAGAAACACCACCTCTAAAATCATTTTTATGAACAATAACAGTAAAAACTTAGGATCTAAGAAGTTTTAGAAACTATTTTCATGCCTTTCAGAGAATATCTAATCATTTTTTTACTATTATCAGTCTGTCAATTTTCAGTCGTGGGAGGGGAGGAGGGGGTGAAGGGAGGGCAGGGACAAGGGGGAAAAATGAGAACCAAGACCTGTCATGTAGAGGTACAAGATCCCAATGATGAATGTAACTGTACTGTCTACCTAAAATGTACCAATAAACTCAATTAAAAAAATTTCTATGGGCTGGGGATTTAGCTCAGTGGTTCGGAGGCCTGCCTCGCAAGTGCAAGGACCCAAGTTCGATCCCCCGTATCACAAAAAAAAAAAAATTTTTTTTATGCACAATGGAAAAACGTATAGTGCGTTTAATTCGCTATTAAGAGCAGATGCTTACAAAATTGTAATATTTTTATTCATTCAATGTTGAACCTACTTTGTACCTAATCATAGGTGAATAGATACCAAAGTGAAAATGACAAATTAGTACACTGAGTACTTCTCTTTCTTTTTGTTGTTGTTTGTTTTGAGACAGATTCTTGGTTTGTAGTTCAGGCTGGCCTCGAACTCACAGTGATCCTCCTGCCTCAGTGTCCCAAATGCAGGGATTACAAGTGTGCACCACCACACCTGGCCTACACTGAATATTTTCAAATATAGTGGCAGAGACAGTCAGTGGAATACAGTCTGAGGAATTACTAAGATCAATAACAGTGACAATAGCAGCCAACAGTTACTGAATGTTTGTCATGAGCTAACCACTGTTAATTCTGCTTCAAATCCATTTTGCATTAAGTCCACGACCACAAACTTTCCAGGCATAGTATTAATTACTGACTCCATGCTGGAGATAAACAAATGAGAGATGCTAAGTAATTTGCCCAAAGTTCTGAGTACAGGGGGGTTGGATATAAACCCACACCGACAAAGTCCACAAGCCATACCCTTAAATACGATACTCTGTCAAAGTAATTAGTTATGTCATATATCCAATCAACATTTTTCTTTCATTCTTAGAAAGTTAAGGGATTCAATGTATCACCATCAAGAGCTCAAGGGATATGATTAATACTCTGTGCTTTCTTGGGATTATGCACTTCTCTGGATCAAAGGGGCAAAGGAGAACAGTTCTTTCTCACATTACTAAAAGTAAAGATTAATCACATTTTAGTTATATAGATCTGCAGAAAAACCTAGTAAATTACATTTTCATTAATTTTTTAAGCCAAAAAGTAATAAGTGTTGACAAAGGAGGTTCACGTAATTCTTATTTTCTGGGGAAGTTTTTTCCAATCACTTTCATATGAGAAAATGAATAATAATCAATTTGGTAGTAGGAATAAATAACCTTTCAAAGAATGAGCTTTTATCAATGAAAAGAATGTATTTTAGCAACCTTTACGAAAAATGAAGAAAACCTGGTTTCCAACATTTTTTTTGAGGCACAATCTTGCTATTTTGCTCAGGCGGGTCTTTTTTTTTTCCTCCCAGGACCAGGGATTGAACTCAGGGCCTTGCGCTTGTGAGGCAGGCACAACACCACTGAGCTACATCCCCAGTCCTCAGAATGGTCTTGAACCCTTGGTCCGAAGCAATCCTCTCACCTCATTCTCCTGAGTAGCTGGCACTATAGGCCTAGGATGCTATGCTTAGCTCCTGGGGAATGAATTTAGTGGATGGAGAGTGAGACTTTCTGGAGAGTATCTTACAAGTACCATGTAAGTGTAAAGGACATGAATAAACTATAGGAGGCAGAATCGTGGCCTCCTAAAAGTGTTTATGTCCCAAACCTTATGACTTGTGAATATGTTATCTTGTGTGACACCGGAGAATTGAGGAAGCAAATGGATTTAGGTTGCTCCTGAGCTGACTTTAAAATGGTCAGATTTTCCTAGATTAGCTGGGTTGGGCCTGAAGTAATCATAAGGTTGCTTTAACGTAGAAGAGGGAGGCAGAAGTGATTCACAGAGATGTCAACTATAGCAGAAGTCCAGTGGTTTGATGTGAGAACTTAACTTGCCTTTTTAACTCTGATGCTGAGAACTGCAAACCAAGGAATGCAGGTGGCCTCTAGAAGCTACAAAAGGCAAGGAAACCAGACCCTACCTGCAGCTAGGAAAAAATGCAGACAAGCCCCTACCCTGGCCTGTTAGATCTTGGGATCTACAGAGCTGCAAGCTAACAAATTGGTGTTTTTTTACAACATTCATCTTGTGGTACCTCATACGAAGGACAGAATGTATAAAATAAAAATCCTGCCACAGAATTTCGCACTTGAAATGTACTTAGGAAATTACTGCATCTGACACTGTCATCTTATTATAAATAAGGAAACTGATGCCTTGTTACAAAAGGTAAGTGGAGATGTAGAACGCAAACTTGGAGATTTTAAGCTCAGACCTTGGAATTGTTTTCTAGTTTATCTTTTTATAAGGAACAAGATATGCAAAACTCTTAACAGTCTTGATAAATGATCAGGTGGTGAATTCATTCTCTAAAATGTGTCATGCATGGACGTGATAACGTTGGGCTACTTGCTCTATGCTGCTTCCTTATGCTCCTATCCCACTGTAACTATGACAGGCTGAACACTGGTCACACACGGATCTCTCGGACCGATGAATACATCGGTGTTAATGTGATCAGGTTAATGCGATACACTGATGATGCTGGACTATCTGCGTATGGACTGATGGACACACAGGGCCTTAATCAGAAGCAGGGTGAGGAAAGTACAACAGGGGAGAAGGCAACGTGAAGTTGATACTGAGACTCGAGTGACGTACTCTGAAGATGGAGGGAGGAGCCTGGCCACCAGAAACAAAAATGCAAGGAATCGATTCTTCCCCTAGTGCCCCTAGAAGGAACCAGTCCTGATGATACCTTGAGTTTAGCCCAGTGGATTTCTTATCTCAAAAACTATAGAGCAACTCTGTATTGGTGTAAGCCACCAAGTTAGTAATTTGTCAACAGGCAACAGGAAACTAATAAAATAATCTAGGAAAATATAGTTGTAAGTGCATTAAAATCACATAGCACTGTATTATTTTTTTACTTATATTTTAATAATTTTAGTTTTGACAAAATAATTCTTGCTTTTCCATTTTCTCTATCTATCCCTGACAGCATAATTTCAAAGTTTCTAAGAATGTTCATCTAAGAAAATCATACAGATTAATGCACAATATCCAAACAGTACTTACCTACTTAATTTTTTCAGAATGTGTTGGAGGACGTTGATTAAACTTGAAATCCTATTAAACAGAAGAAATTAATGTAATATTAAACAAAAAAACTTAGTCTTTAACAATTACAGGATCTCAGCCATAGAAATGCCCTCATTAACAAACCAAAATGGCAGACGAGCAGCAGAAGAGATGACACGAAGGACACAATCCCATAAAGGGTACAGAAAGGGTCAATGTGTGCTGACAGGCCAGTGACTGGGGACAGACTAACGGGAAAATGAAACACTCTAAATATTTCTTTAGTTTTTCTTCTAGACCTGGACTTAGTCCCTTTGTTATTTCTCATTTTAAAAATAATTTTCACTGAGAGAATTGAGGCAGGCACTGAGTAGGGAGAGCATTTCTATTCCCATGTGTAAAGAAAAGTTATCACCCGAGAAGCAAATCGTATAAATAGAAGTGAAGATATTTAAGTACAGGCAGAGAGTTTAAGTTTGAATCTGAGACCCTTCAGTAACTGTTGAGTCTCAAAACTGGAAATATGCAGCTGGTGTAAGTTAAGACAGCCTCTCACCCTCAGCAGTAGATTAAGCACTTTAACTACCAAGACTGTCCTGACACTAGCTCAGCTGTCTGCTCTAGGGCGAGTCACTAAAGTCTCAATTCCTCACATACAAAATGGAAAAGACACTACCGCCAGCATTTTATGGAGAGTTGTGAGGCACAAGAGAGATAATAAATTTCCCTTGCGTTTGAGCACTTAAGAGAGTTCTGAGTACAATAAATTCATGAAGTTCTGATGTACAAGAATGCTTAGGCAAAGCTGTCCAAATCAGGGCACTGAATCCTAAGAGCTGAGATCTACGACTGACCCAGCCTTCCTTCCCTAGACGGGGCAGGATGTCTGTGTCCAGTGTGCGTTAAGGTGGTAGCTGCTTCCTGGCTCTGGTCTCTTTGCGTTAAGTAGGAAGACTCGCTGGTGTCAGCACTACATTCACTCTGGAAATGGGGACGATCCACACGGATGGGTCACAAGCTGAGTCAATGTATGAAATGATCTCAAGTGTTAAAATGAAATTATTTAAACTTAACTAATATTTACATTAAAGGATAATTACTGATTATATTAACAAGTTTTTCCAATTCCCACCACAAAGCAAGCTTTCTTACCTGAGTGCTGAAAGCTTTTCTTTTAATTCTTCAGAAGTAATTTCTTCTAGCAGGAAAAGCTTTGAAGTAAATGCATCAATATGTCCTAAAATAAAATATCAAACTTTAAAAAAAGGCAGTCACCGTATTTAAAAAGCAAAAGCCCATCAAGTTACTTAAGTCTCCTTCAAGATGTTTTTCATAAAACTTTAATAACTGTAAAATAATTTTATACCCTCAAAGGAGAATACATATGAAGTCTTTCAAGCAAAACTGTATCTTAAAATAATATAAAGTTCAAATTATACAATATGGATTCATTCTAAAATATCTTCTGAATGTAGAAAAGGTCACACATGTCCACACCCACAAAATAATCTCTAGCCCTACAATTTAACAATCACAGCTGTTTAAGCATTAGTGTTTCCAATTTTTAGAAGTGTTGCATTTTTATGGAGTTCTTTTAAGATTTATATTTATTTTTATTTTATCATGGTAGTGGGGATTGAACTCAGGAGCCTGCTCATGCTAGGCAACGGCTGTAGCACTGAGGTACATACTCAGGTTCACGGAAGCTTGTTTTTAAGGAAAATATGTACCTATTATCAAAACAAGTTATTAAGAATCAAATGAATAGAGTAGTCATGCTCAGTGCCTAAGACGTGATTCTTAAAATAAAAACTAGATTATAAATATGGCTTATTATTTTTAATTAAAGTACACAATAAGACTTCTCATGCTTAAAGCAGTCTGCTCAAAGTCTTATTTTCTAATAAGCATGATATGAATGTAGAATTTTAAAAAAACATCATGTTCTCAAAATGACATTTCTATTTTAAAAAGTAACGTGTATACTTGAAAACTACACACACTGACGCACTGTAGTGCACCGATGAAGAGTGCTAACAAGACAGTCTCAGTCTGATGTTCAACCCAAAACCATGCTCTTGTATGATGATTAAAAACCAAGTAGTATAAGAATGTCACTCACTAATGCTGAAAATAGTTCTGTTTTGGGATTCATTTGTAAACTCCTAATACCTAGTTGTCAAAACAAATTACCTGGAAAGCTGATTTCAATCATTGGGGCCAATGAAAATGTACATAATTTAACACCTCATTTTCACATCCAGCCTATTTTAATTTCAATGAATTTAATTAGAACATTTTTACCAGACTCCTTCCTCTAAGACAACAAGCCCATTTGTTCCCACACCCACTTGTTATTTCTTATGCCAAGTCTTAATTTCACTTTTGCATTGCTAACACTCATTATACAATGGCATGTCTAATAACAAAGACATATTTTAATGGCTTAATAATCATAGAAAGGTATTAAGTACAGTACATTTTTAGATGCTTACTAAATGAGCCTTTGAGGAGACTATCAGCCCTTACCTTTTGAAAGCAATTCAATAAAAAAATTTATTATAGCACTGTATCCATCAAATACAGTCTGTCAAAAAAAAAATAACCACACAGTGAATACCATACTAAGTGCTGTGAAGGCCTTCGCTCTTCAAGGAGATTACACCTAACACTGGAGTCATCCAGCCTGTGGGCCTCCAAGCCATTAGAACTATGCCTGAGACGCGTTGGGTACAAAAGCTTCCTGGCCACTGCCTTTAGTCACAAGCAATCTCTATATATCACAGTGTGTTGTATAAATATTTTTCATGCGTCAAAGTTGGAAGGGAGTAATTATATAGTACAAATAAAGCCTTTAATATACACACATTCATAGTTATATAGACACAGGCAGAAAAGGCCCTGCTTTCCACACAGTGCACAACCATGATCACACAGGTTGAAACCAAACAAGCATGTTGAATAATCAGTGGGGCGGGGGGAGGACAAAGGAAAAAATAATCAATGGGGAACTTTACAATTATTCTACTACCTTTAAGTTTTTTGTCAGACCATTATAAATACTCCATTAATTATAAATGCATAAGGAAATGAAAAAATAATGAAATATTTATTTAGTACCACGGGTGTGCTCAACCTTTTGGCTTGCTTAACCTACACTGAATGAACAGATCATCTTGGGCCACATATAAAGCATATAATACAGTTGATGTATATAACTGGCAGTACTTACTTCTCTTTCCTCCCCTCCCTCCGCCCTTCCTTTCTTTGCCAGGGTCTCATTATGTAGTCCAGGCTGACCTTGAACCTTCAATCCTCCTGTCTCCGCCTTCTGAGTGCTGGGAGTACAGGCATGTGCCATCATGTTCATCTTATTTTTTTAACACTTTAACTGATAATTTTTTTTTTTTTGTACCGGAGATCGAACTCGGGTCTTTGCGCTTGCAAGGCAGGTGGCGGAACCACCGAGCTAAATCCCCGGCCCTTAACTGATAATTTTATGAAATAACATAAGCCCAGGTTTAATAATGAGAATATTTACATATGGGATTAGTAACAATACATGTCTGTCTTCACAGGCACACCCATGTGCCGGCAGGCTGAAATATTATTAGCAGCCACTGCTGCGTTTTACTCCCTACATTGCGTAAGTGCCTGGAATGTCTGATACATGCTGGTTTCCACTGACCAGCTGCGTGGCACAGGAGGCAGGTTTAGTACTGCATGGTGCCCTCCCGTACCCAGCAATCCGTTCTCACCTGTGCAGTCTACACTTGAGCCCATGCAATCAAGTTGTAACAAGTACTGCTAAAAATCACATAATAATGTTGAAAATTAAGACTATTAACTGTTCAAGGCGACATGTTGCCTCTGGGCTGGACACACCAGTGGTTGTAATTGAAACATTAAAAACATAGAAAAGGACAAGTTTTTATCAGGAGTAGTTGGAGCAGCGTTGTCTTCTTATACAACTCATCCCAGGAAGTAAGCATCTTTTCTCCACCATGGGGAACTGTCATACTGGAGCAGCTTCCCACATTAGCTCCTGTGGGCTTTCACGAAATAGCTCCATAAGTTCCTTTCATGGAAAATCTTATGCTGGTGCCACTTCTTCATCTTCCGTATCACTACTTTTCCTCACTATGTCAATAAGGGAGGCCTCACCAAGTTCTCCTGGCAGCAAATCTAGACTCTCTCGAACAGAGAAGTGTCTGATACCAACATTTTCACTGTCAACTTTTGTTTTTTTTGTTTTTTTTTTGGTACTGGCGATCAAACTCAGGACCTTGTGCTTGCGAGGTAGGCACAGTGCCACTGAGCTAAATCCCTGGCCCATGTCAAGTTATTTCTTCTCTAATTCCATGCAAGTTTGAGTCAAAGTTCATTTTTAGCAGCATTATTTTTTGTTTGTTGGTTTTAATTTCTGTTGGCCGATTCTCTCTTTTGATGATCTCTTTTATAAAATATCACGTGGGTTTATCGCTGAAGACAAGGAGGTAACCCAACTGCACACATGGTTTTCTGAACTTGAACTCAGAATTAGGTGCACAGGGACTAAGCATGGACAGACTCTGAGAGAAGTGGATTGTACTGGGCCTCTGTTATCTAAGTAGTGATTAGTGGACTTCCGGAGAGCCAGGAGTGAAGGCCTTTTGCATTTACTCACAATGTTCAGGCAAAAGTGAAATTTGTGAGCTGGGCGTGGTTGCGCACGCCTGTAATGCCACCGCTCAGGAAACTGAGGCAGGAGGATCGCTGTGAGTTCGAGACCAGCCTGGGCTACATAGTGAGTTCCAGGTCAGTCTCAACTACAGAGTGAGACTGTTTCAAAAAACCAAAAAAAAAAAGTGAAATTCATGCTTATAAAAACTGCAAAGCGAGGACTGCTTGTATGGCAACTACATGGAATAAATACATAGATTAGAACTGAAGAGTGGGGACAAGCTGTGGTGGGACTACTTTGGAAATTTTCTAAAAGGAGTAAATGTAGGTGTTCTTATAGCGCAAGAGGATAAAAATGTATTGTAATCAAGGCAAAGAAGGGAACCTGTTTATAGCATAGTAAAGTAAATAATAATAATAAAACAAACAAGTGTGTTTTTACTACCTGAGAGACTATGAGATATAAAAGTGGTTCTTACAACATGAGGATATTGGTACTGGAAGTTCCCAGGAGGACATGGCAGAAATGCAAAGTCCTAGGTCCTAATCCAGGCCTACTGGGTCCGTGCCTGCAGTCTCCATTTTAACAAGCCCTACGGTGATTTTCTTACTAGCATGCTGAAAAACCAAAACAAAACAGGAATACAGACCCTTTTCAAATGGTGCTTAAAATGCATTTCTGGGTAGAGCCATAGCTTAGTGGCTACCATGCACAAGACCCTGGGTTCAATCCTTAGCACCAAAATAAAGCAAACAAAAGCAAAACAAACTATTCTCATATATCTACACCCACGTAAAACTAAGACACAAAAAGCCACAGCTAAAGAACAATATATGACTCATGTTTTTCACCAAACAGCTGCATCCAAAACTGAGTATCTTGAGGGGGATTAATGACAATGGGTCTTTTACTGTAATATTTTTCAAATTTAAACACTCACTGTATATTTTGGTCCACCACATAAATGGTTCATAAGCAGTTAGGGCCCCCCATGAAAATGTGAAGGCTCTGGGTTAAATTCCCAGTCCTTCATCCCCCAAAAAAGTATTTCTGAAGTAATTCATGAAGTTGATGGTAGTTTTATTTGTTAAACTGTACATTAAAAAATATAAACCTCCATTTTCTGTCAGTGCTTTAAAAGGAGTTTACTGAGGAGTTCCTCTTTGGTCCTTTCCTAAAGTGGCTATGGCTGGTAACTGCTTTCAAGCAGCTTAGAGGAAGACTGTTAGTATTAAGTCTCTGGAGGAACAATAAAATTCCAGTTACTGCTCAAAAACTACTACATAAACTTCCAGCAGTGTGTGTGAAAGTGGAGGTGAGGGGAGTGCACCACCAAGAAGTACATTTTGCCAGTTCCTTTTTGGGCTAAGCAGAGAGACTCGATTATTTCATTAACACTCTCATAAAATATAAAAACTAAATATGGGTCAACCCAAATAGGGGCAGAATTTCAACTGAGTAATTTTTTTTTTTTTTTTGAGACAGGGTCTCACTATGTAGTTGAGACTGATCTGGAACTCACTATGTAGCCCAGGCTGGTCTCGAACTCACAGTGATCCTCCTGCCTCAGCCTCCCGAGTAATGGGATTACAGGCGTGTGCCACCATGCCTGGCTATCATACTTATTCTAATGGAAAAAAGAACAGTAAAGTAGAAAGTAACAGTGATGAAAGGAGTAAAGGACAATAAGGCATTGAGAGATCAAAGGAAGGAAAAGCCTGCGCGGAGTGGCAGCCGAGATGGGTTGAGATGTACATAACTAGGCATCCCAGGGGGAGGAAAGGATGTAAACAATGTTAGGAAGTACTCTAAACAATAAGGTATATTAACTGTAACTAAACATGACCCAGGCCAATTAGACCCTTGCCTAATTCTAAAACATAGGAACAAAAACAAAACAAAATTAAGAAAATTTCAAAACAAATGCATAAATCAATTAAATAGTATATTTAGTATCAATACTCTTTAAAAAGCTGGTTAGAAACATCTGCGTTGTTAATTATACTGTTAAATAAGTATTTTTGAAATAGACTGTGTTAACATTTGTGTACAGCTAAAGAGTAACAGAATAAGAGGGAAAGATGAAACATCTGATATCACTAACTCCACTCTGCCACTTAATTCTCAAATAGGATGCAATTTAATGGAAAGTTAACACAGTCAAAACTGAAAAAAGTACAAAGTGAAAGTATTTACAGTTGAATTTCAATGTGTGTATTTACAAGGGAATTACAAAGGAGAACAAAGGCTCTTGTTTAACTTACCAACATAAAAAGAGCAGTTTGAGTGCAATAAACTTTCAGTCCATAAGCGACAAAGTTCACTTTCAGTCAAAGCTTCCACTCCGTAACAAGCTTGATATTCCACTTTAGGTAGAACATACACCGGAAATTGCTGCAACGCAAGAACAGACTTTTTCACAGCTCCATCGATTTACCATCAGGGGTAAATACATTTGCCTACACAGCTTCACAGCTGTCCAAATGCTTTCATGCAATCTTATTCCATCCTTTCCTATAGAGTAGGATTCAGACAGACGGAAGGAGATACAAGAACCCTGGGCACATCTGGGCAAGAAGTGGAGAAGTGAGGGCGATCCCTCAGCACCATCCCTGTCTACAAAACAAATCAACCTACCGCTCCGCATATGCACACCAAGAATGACACCGAATCCTTGGAACACAGCCTATCCTACAAGACTGTGCAAATGTTCAAAGCTAGATGCCGAGAAGCAAAGACTATAATGAATATTAGTAATTCTCAAGCAGAATAAAAAAGGTAAGAAACTTTTGCTACCTTTAAGTATTAGTCACTTGTCTCAGCTCAAATACTCTGACCAGCCGGCTTTCGCTATATGAATGAATGAGCATTAAGCCCCGCATTAACACCCGGGGACGTTACTATTTTTATTAAAAGGCTTTATTCCGGACACTTAGTTCCGGACACTTAGTACCTGACAAATTATCCTTTTGGTCTTTATTGGTCAGGACACTTAACAGAGTAAGTAAAATACTCATTACTAGTCTAAAGGAGAATACGTAAGAAAAATGCATAATTTATGGAATTATGTTAGTTACATTCACTGTGCTCATGTTATACCCTGTCAAACAAAATTTTACTCTACTTTTTTTTTTTTTTTT